AATAATACTTATATATTTGTATAACTAGCTATTACTTGAGCCTTTAGCGCAGGGCCTCTCAGCTTTTAACCTAAATACAGACTGTTGGAAATTTGCCAGGAGCCCAAAAGCTGCATCTAATTTGGATAATATTAGAGGTCTAATTACATAAAAGTTGATATGTACTGTGGAAGACCAGGAGTAGAAAACTTGTGAATAACTGATTTTTTCAATTCACTGGCAGTTAAAAAAAAGACCCAGACCAGTAGTGTACAGGAGTCTGGTAGAGAGCAAATATACTGGTCACTGGATGAGTAGTTTTCTGTTCCCTGAGTGACCAGAGCAGGGGCTGCACTAGAGTAATCAGAAACCTGCTAGAACCAGTTAAGGCAGGCAGGCTAATTAGGACACCTGGAGCCAATTAAGAAGAAGCTGCTACAATCAATTATGGCAGGTTTATCAGGGCACCTGGGTTTTAAAAAGGAGCTCACTTCAGTTTGTGGTGTAAGTGTGAGGAGCTGGGAGCAAGAGGTGCAAGGAGCTGAGCGGGTGTGCTGCTGGAGGACTGAGGAGCACAAGTGTTATCAGACACCAGGAGGAAGGTCCTGTTGTGAGACTAAGGAAGGTGTTTGGAGGAGGCCATGGGGAAGTAGCCCAGGGAGTTGTTCCCAGCTCTTCCACAGACTCTGTTTGTGACCTTTGGCATATCACTTTAAAATATCTCTACATTGTGCACTAAGCCTGGGCTCTGGCTTAGGTTCCAGACCAAGCCCCACTTCAACGCACACAGAAATCAGTCTGTCTTGGGTCAGCAAGCACTCAGGACCTGCTATAAGGGTGAGTCACAGGCCAAGCCCTATCATTTTGCAGTGTGGATACAGTTCAAACTGCAGATCTGAGTCAGAAGGTCTGTGTAGTGCAGTATGGACATGATAGCACAGCTGTGAGACCCAGGTCCAGCAACTGTAAGTCCAGATTGACAAGGCAGGGTGGCTGCTCAAGCGTGGACTTCTAAACACCTGCGTCCCACAGACCTGGGTTTACAATGGTGTGTAGATATTAGGGGGTAACTGAAACTCCCTTGAGGCCAAAGAGTCTTTTCATTGGCCCCAAGGGGATTTGGATCAGCATTTAATCTCTTTGTGCTTCAGTTTCCTATTTGTAAAAACTGGGATAATATTTCCCTTTGCCTAATCTCTTTAGACAGTAAAGTCTTCAGCGCAGGGACTATTTCTCACTATATGTTTGTACAACGCCTTGCAAGAATGGGGCCCTGTTCTAAGCTAGGGCCTCTCAGTGCTACTGTACTATAGATGATAATTATGGTCCTCAGCTACACTAATTTACACTAGGGAGCAGACCAATGCTTGGCCTACTCAGAAGCATACATTTGTAAAAATGGATTAGAACCAGCATTGTAATCTCCTTTCCCAACTGCTCCAGGCACACCTGGCCCATCTATTGTAAATGCAAAGTATTTTTATTGTAGAGGATGTTGCTGTTCCAGCTCTCCATAGAAAGCACCATCAGTGTGCCTGAAGAAAGCAGAGTGAATTTAGAAATATGTAGTGATGCAGAGTTAATAGTAGAGAATGAGAATTATGCATGGTGTCTTCCAGTGTACGAGGAATTTACAGCTGTAACTCCCATTAGTTAATAGTTCCTAGATTTAATGTTTTTTATGGTATAATTAAAATGACAGATTTTAGGTCTGAAGTTGCTAGGATCATATTGATACAACTGAGTTCCTTCTGGGAAAAGTAAGTTTATAAAGGGAAAATATTAGTATGATTCCTTTTGCAATAAATTTTGGCTGAAGGACCCAAGATTTTAAAAAAAAAAAAAAAAAGACCTACATCTTCATTACAAATTGGAGGATGGAAAAATATCAAGCTAGGAGATGAAAGGTGGAGAACAGGGAATGAAAAGCTCATACTTATAAAATCTTCTAGGAAATGCAAGATGGTACATGGTGGTGGCAGTTGAGAAGCACCCAGACAATTCTGAAAAGGTCATATTTGGGAGGCTGTTGCAACAGCCAAAGGTTTTTTTCATTGTAAAATGGAACCCTTGCGCGAGCAAATGCTTAGGCACATCAGGGCCTGCAGATATGTTTGTGAAGGTATCTGTAATGTTTCTGTTGCAGGCTCCATGATCCTCTAACTTGATAAGAAAGATGGCATTGTTAGTAAGGGCCTACTGGAGGGATATAACAAGAGTTAGGCCATTGACATTGGATATCTGTTAGTTGTAAAGGGCTGGAAAGGTCAAGGATTATACATTTGTTGCCTGAATATTTGTCCTCAGTATTTGTATAAGTGTGGTTACCTCCCAGGCAACTGATAAAGAAAGGGGGTGAGGCAGGGGATTGTTGTAATTAGTTACTCAAACTATTCCCTTTCCTTGTCCTCTTTGGTGATCAATGGACATTGGTTCTGATATAGGAGGCCTTAGGACTTTTGCAAATGGCAAGGAGAAAGGTACAGAGAAGTCAGCAAAAGATGCAGTGATTAAATATGACAGTCATGGTAAGGCTCTGCAACAAGCCTGACATACCCCAGTCCCCACCACGTTAGCAGGTGTTGATACTGCAGGAAAAGGGTGAGTGGGTTCTTCTGACCTACGGAAGCACATGGTTTCTTACCTTCCACATCCAGGAGGCCTGGTTCTTTAGAAAGGGAGGATCTAGGATTTAACCTGAACAGTTTTGAGGGAGAAACCCTAGGAGCCACCAAATCTGGGGAGAAGGGTGGATGGGTGCTTTTTTACCTTATTGTTTTCTTTCTAAAGAAAGCCATGCCCCAGGATGGGGGTGAATTTTGACTCTACACAGTGAGAAGACTTTTTTGTAGAGCAGGTTAGCCAAAAACCTGCATTCACAGTACTACCAAGATTGTGTAGCTAGAGCAGGATTTTGACAAAAGTCACTGGAGACTTGGCAACTAATGTAATAAAGAATGGGAGAACCTGGGCTCAAATTAGGTAGTGTTTGTGAAGTAGTGGTACTTTCCCAAACTCTGTCCACAAGCCAATTTCCACCTGCTTGAGCTACCCAAGTGAGTTGCCACTCATAGAGATTTCACAGATGTTCAAATTGTGATTGCTCATGATCTGCTGGCTCCTCTTTGGTGAGGTGGGTTCTGCAGTGGCTCAGCCCTTGGTGGGACTCCACTCCCCCTGGGCAATAAAGTGGAAGGTTGCTCATGTAGAGTCTGCAGACCCCTCCTTGCTTTGGTCAGCAATGAAGCAGTTAACAATGGGACAGGTCACACCTCTAAGGCTATGTCTTCCTAGCATAGAGAAGCGTAGAATGAAATCCTGGCCTTGTTTTCATCGGGCAAAAAGGTGTGTTCTTACCTCATATTAGTTAACACATGGTAACTAAGATGAGGTAAAATTCTAGTGAAGATAAAGCAGTGCTAACACATCAAGATAAACCCCAAGATTCCCCAAATCTTTACCTCAACCTGTTACTATGTGAAAACTACAAACTGGCATTCACAAAATGGCAGCCTAACAAAAAGTACCAGGTCACGGGTGGCCTCTCCAGCCCAATTCATTCCCTGGGTAGAATCATGGATCATCTTGTGTTTAGGAGATGTGGGAGGAGTACATATGGTTCGGGGACTAAAGGATCCTGGAAATCAGATGGATGATTCTCAGCAAGTTCTCAAGCCTGACCTGCTCCTTGTAGTTCTTCACCAGACCCTTTCCAGAGACATAGCTCCTGTTCTCCCCTAGAGTGTTCACAGCTCTGTTTAAGTAGTCATCTGTTTGAAAACCCACAGTTGGGGTCAGTCATAATTAAATCTCCATCACACTTAGCTAGGTCACAGGCAAGACTGAGCCCAGCTTGTCATAAAGAGCCAGGCAACTTGTCACACTCCCATAGTCTTTAATTCAATCTGCTAACTCATGTGAAACCTACAAACTGCCTTGTCTGCACTAGGATTTTATCTTGAGTTAGTTAACTCAGTTGAGAACACCTTTTCTTTCTGACTAAAGACAAGGCCTCAGGAGCTTAAGATTTGATCCAGCATGCATTAATGTTAATAGGAACCTTTCCACTGACTCTAGTGAGCACTGGCTTAAGCCCTGAGCAGGGAGTTATTCCCCTGTTTGCTGGCAATGAGGTAGGGGCACCTTTAACCAAGTTCCAGTGACAGAATGGCAAAAGGAAGATTGATCAATAGATCAAAACCTAGTTGTACGCATAAAGGGCCAAAACTTGCCTTTCCCAACACTGCAGAAGGCCCTCTTAGCATAGCATAGCAGTGGATGGGGAGCCCATGCAGAACCTGTACATCCCCTGCATGCCACACAATCCCTGGGTCAGGGTGGTCCCTCCATGTTATTGCACATGAAAGATTTGGGGTATCTGGAGCTGGTAGACCCACCTCCACACCAATCCACAGACCATTCTACCGCTCAGAGGACCACAAGCAACACAGGTGTTTACTCAAGCCCTGAAATAGAATAGCCATTGAAAAGCAGCTGTTCTGTCACTCTACAGCCCAGAGGGAAGTTGCCTTCTTCCCCCTCTCAGCCCCAAGTGAACTCTTCAGCAGATGTTCGGGCTGTGCTCTGAGCTCAGGATTTGGGTCAAAATCAGAGTTTGACCCATGGGGTCTTAAAATCTTAGATGACAATATCAAAGTAGAATTTCAAATCCGTGCCAAAGCCAATTGTTGTTTACTAACCACTAATAAACCAGCTGCCCTTGAAAAAAGTATCTCATAGCAGACTACAGCAATTACATTTTGACATCAGGAACAGAATTTCTGCCAGAGGTGAAATTTGCATCCTATCTTCACTGCTGTCTCCCATGTCAGTCTTCTGCATTGTGAATTTAAAGCCATCACCCCTACTACAGAACTAGGGTGACCAGATGAGATGAGGAAAATATTGGGACACCGGGGGCGGGGGAACGCAAAAAAAAAAAGCTGAGTGCTGCTGGCCAAGCCAAAAAAAACAAAAAAACCCCGAATGCTGCTGGCTGAGCAAAAAGAGGGGAGAAAAAAAAAAGTGCGTCCTGACCGATCTTTGGGGGACAAACAGCTAAAAGTTGGGATGGTTTTATCGGGATGTCTGGTCACCCTATACAGAACTGAACTACAGAGTACCTCAGAAAGTGGGATCAATGTAGAAAGGTGTCACCGTGGTTTAAATAGCTCATTGTAGAGTAGATTTGGGCCAGTCTGGGAGCTTTCAATCAGGAGACCTCTTTGCCAGTAACCCAACTCCAGTGATTGGTCTGCTCTGGATCAGCCATAAGCTTTGTTTTGAATGCAGCTGTCCTCTCTACCCCACAGCCTCTTTGCAGTCACTTCTGTCCTAACTGGAATGCCATGAACGTGCAGCAGTTGGTCAGGGATTGCTTACATGTGTCCCTCTTTGTCCATCTTCATGGTGACCAGGCCAACTTTCACCTTGGGTCAGGCCTCCCTTGTACCTGTGTTGCACAAATATATCTATCGACACTTTTATAGATAGGCCTGAGCATAAATTTTGGATTAGAATTAAATCTTCCCCAAAAATCTGATGGCGCTTGGTTAGATCTTAGTATTGTGTTTTGATCCACTTCTCTCTACAACATCCATGAAACCCACTCTTAACAGAGTACTTTAATTATCCTATCTAAAACTGTATGAACAAGTTGCCTAAAACTGCCAGTTTATTCTTATCGATGACTAATAAATAATAATAACAATAATAATAATTAATAATTATATTATTTATCTCTATCTCCGTTTTCCCATCTGTGAAACTGGGATAATTATACCTTCCTTTGTAAAGCACTTTAAGATCTATGGATGAATAGCACTACATATCAATAAGAATGTATTGTTTACAGAGCATCTTTCATCAGAGGATCTTGAAGAATTTTATGAAGCCTTTGATTAATTAAGCAAACTGATTAAACCTCACAACATCCCTGTGAAACTTTTTACAGATGACACTGAGAAATCAAGTGACTTGTCCCAAGATACACTGAATTAGTGTTACAGCTGGGTTTAGAAACTTGCTCCCTTGACTTGAAGTTCTATGTTCCACTGGCAAGACCATATCACCTCAGTTACATGTTGTATAACTCTGATGGACCATGCCAACTGTCTGCAGTACATTTCACTAACTAAAAATCTGTCCAAACAACATTGTTTGATTTAGCAGGGTAGTGACCTTTGTATTACAGAGGAGTCATTTCTTATAAATGATATCATTGGAACTAAGGTCCAATGGAGTCCAAGGTTCATTAACATTTTGACACATTACTTAGTTGCACAACAGTATCTCATGTTCTAAGCTGATTTCTTCTCAAGGGACACTGTTCAACATCTGCTCTGACGCTAACATGCTCCTGAGAGAACCACATCTGGCCCTGTTCAGCTGAAGAGAGACTCACTGAGATGTGGAGCCATCAAAGGATGGTGAAGGGAGTAAATGGAGGGATTGGGGAAGAGATCCCAGAGGATCTCATTTCTGATGCAACAAAGGGAATCTTGCAATGTTACCCCTAAAATTTGATTTCCTTTCCAAAGCTTTTAAGGGTAGATCCTCAGATGTTTTAAGTCAGCATGTCTTCAATGAAGTCCACGGAGTTGCACTGATTTACACCAGCTGAAAATGTGGCCCAGTTTTCTTTTCCTACACCAAGGAAACCAAGGTATAAATAGAGGGAGTTTGAATGGGTTCATATCACTCAGTCCTCACTGCCCTTTAACTTTTCCTGTCAAAACTTTTCCTTAAATATGTTTTTTCCATAACCCCCCTGGTAGCCTTCTTCACAATAGCTTCCCTTTATAGCAAGCCCTAGGGAAACATTTGTGGTTACTTGTATCTTTATTAACTAATGCTTTACCCTGATAACAACCACACAGTATATTTAATGGGTATATGTTACAGACTTCTAAAACACACCCATCCCATGTGTTTGCAGCAGCCTTGAGCTTAGTTAGGGCCTGTTGGTGATACTGTGATAATGAAGTGTCATATTATCAAGATCTATACCAGTTCTTGCAAAAGCATGGAGCACAGAAGATGTATACATTAAAAGTTGTAGGCTGTTAAGAACTTATGGCAGGAGTGCAGTAGGTATGTGATTGGTTTCATTTTCCTGAAGCTTTCAACCATTTGAGAAATACTCCTTTAAATAATTCAAAACTGTATTGAACAAAGCACTGGAAAGGGTGCTATAGGGAACAAGCCTGCATTGCTAGAGGAACAGACTGGACTAGACAACATAAAAGGTCATTTTTATTTCTACTTTCTCTCATTGCACAGGCCAGGAGCTAAGTGACTCATGGTAACAGTTCCAGTGGAAATCCCCGAGTCACTGACCAAACATTTTGGAAGGATCTCCCTGGGTATCTGAAATGTTATATTGTCAGTGATTGTAGTCCTCTTCAAAAGCAATGTCAAAACAAGAAAAACACCACTGATAAAAGTTAATAACAACACCAGAATGAACCAATCCACCACAGAGTACTAATTCTATTAGAATTTAGCAAGGACACCTATAAGTAAAGAGAAGCATTTTATGAACTTGTAACACAGTAAAGCTAAATTTTCAAAGGCTTTGCACCATTAAAGTGGGCTTTTGCATCCACATTTACAGGTGCAAGTAGAACTTGGGTTGCTGAGTATTTTCAGAGATGCAATGGAGGCACAAGTGAATTGCACCTGCCAGGAGTGATATGGGTGAGTGGGGCTAGGAAAAATGTCCACACCATGGAATTTTCAACCAATCACACTGGGAGAAGCAGAATTTAGCCTAATCTTTATACAGTGAGAATCCCACACTTGCCTTATTAACCCCGCCATGTTTTATAGGGCAGATGTAGGAAAACCAGAACGAACTGTCAACTGGTGACAGAGACAGCATGAAACCTGGAAACATTTTGGGTGACATCGGACACTGAGGTCCCTGAAGGATGAGAGATCAGGGAAGGTGAAGGAGGGGGCCCAAATGACCCAGGCAAAACAAAGAATCAAACTGTACTCTCCTAACAGGACCCACTCAGGGGGAGATGGGGAAGGTTTCTTGGATTTATCTGAGGAAGAAATCATCTGAAGGTACAAGTTTAATTCTGCAGTTGTCCTGCCTTTCTCTGAGGTGTTGGCCAGGTTTTGAGTCAAACACAGAAGAGCCATACATTACCTGTAGTAGTCAAAATCACCTCAGCTCTGGGATTCCTTCACAACAGGAGTATTTCAGAGATTGAGTGGTGGCCATCACAGGAATAAACCAGTCTGCCATCTACACCTATGTTAATCAGTTTCTTTATGCCATTCTCAAGAGGTTTAATTTATACTGATTTCCTCCCACCAGCAGATGGCAAGTCCTAAAAAATGTGGCCATCTGTGATGAATGCTGTACTTGTGTTCCCCCTAAGGGTACTTTCAGCTACTGACACCCCCTTCAGGGACAGAAAAAAGCTCTACTCTATTCATGTGCAGATTACCTACCATGCTAATTACATCATCACAGAAAAACTGACCTGGTACTCAGAAGAATGTCACAACTCCTCCATTGGCAGGTTCTCTGGACTAGCTGGGGAGTTTGGGACTGGCTGGAGTGCTAGAGCTTGGGGAAATACAGATAAGTTAGTTACAGTAGCCTTAGGAGTCTTGATCATGTGTTTACCATGTGCAAGACTGGTTGATATGCACATTTCCCTTTTGCTGGGGTCAGGGCCTACCGCTTGAAAATATGGATCATAACTCACACTGCAAATCCCCCAGAAATAAACTATAATGCAGCTCTTCCTGACAGCATTCTGTGATGCTTTGGGGGTTTCACCCAGACCAATAAGGGGTTGTATCACTCCCTGCTCTGTAACCCTGGATGCCTCTGTGCTGTGCAGCTTTGGCTCAGAGCCCTGACATCAGCAGCCTGCTTACAGCCTCACCATAGCTTCCACCAGCCTGGTTACTCCTTGGATGCTGACACCAATAGCCCTTCCAGTCCCGTGTCCTCAGAACTGTCTTCTCTGTCCTGCTCAGCCCTTCTCACTGTAGCAGTCACAAAATCTTATTGTGTTGCTCCTTTAAAGAGACAGTCCATGGCACCAGCCTGTTAGTTTGGCTGAGGATTTTACTCCTCAGTTTGAAACACTGCACTAAGACGGTTGTTTAATAAAATAAGATTACGCATATTAACAAAGAACAATTTTTTAAATATCAAGTAGAATGAATTGGTTACAAACAAACAAACATACATTTTTAAGACCAAAACCTAACTTAACAAACAAGAGTCTTTTGTTCAAAGTAGTTTTCTCACCCCCATTCTTCCAGCATGGTTGGCCAGTTTTTACACAGGAGCCAATGTATAGCTTAAAGTGTTTGGTTTCTTTGTCTTTTCAGATGAAGGATGCCAAAATGACTTTTTTCTCTGTTTATATTCTGAAAGTTTATCTTGGCTTTCAAATCCAGGAAACCCTTCCGGGGGCTCAGGGAGCTGCGCTATGTTAATTTTTGCAGTCTCCTTCCCTTGTCATGATAGGTAAGTGGCTATCTCCTCCACTCGCTAGTTTGATCACTTTGTTCACCTTTTATGTCAATGTGCTTCCATGATCTCTCCTTGCTCAATTTACATTGGAAACCGACATTCAAGCAGACAAAACCACATTCCTTTGTCTAGGGCCAAGCACATTTGAAGAACATATTTCCGGTACACATTTATAATTCTTTATACGTTAATCATGCCTACTTCACACAAGGCTATTAATGATCAGTGAGATACTAGTTTTCCAGTAATATACTACAAGACACCTATTTAAATTAATATCATGGCAACACTGTGTGAGGTGCCATGAGCTGGTCAGACCAGTTCTTAGAGTCACACATTCCTTGTAAATTGTCCTTTTTTAGATCAGTTCTGATGTGTTTGTCCCTCCCTGTGAATAGACACAGGAGAGTCACAGTGCTGCAGTGTCAGGGTATGTGCTGGGGTGGGGTTATTGTGACATGCTGCAGTGTGACATGGAAGCCTATAGTGATCTTCCTGGGAGGGTATATTGTTGCCATAGCAACATGCTTGTTGCCTGCCCAGTATTCCTCTGATATCTGGACAACAGTGGCTGAAGGAATGGTGACCTCCTGAACAATATGCAGGTACATGCAATTGATATTGTGCCTCCACCTCCAACATGAATGAGACACACTTCACTTCCCCTCCTGTGTGTCTTACTTCACCATGCTTCTCCCACCTATGACTTGGAGCACTGTGCTGTCCCCTGTATGGACAATGGTGTTTATCTTTACCTAGTGATATTTTTGTTCCTCCATGGCTATTTTGTTTGTCTAGATGCTATGCTCTAAATCCTGGGAGGAACCACATTGGAGACGGGTGCATGAGCACAGTGAACACGAACTGGACACTTCAACATTATATCTATCTGCAGATGATACTTCCTTATGTGATCACCTCCACCCTCTGCAGTCCTTTTTGTGTTTCCTTTAGTCTTGCATCTGTATCTCTCCTGGGGAAGTGGATCATTTCCCCTCTTCTTGCCATGCACAGAAAAATAAATTATTGAATTACTACATCTGTCCATGGGTCCTTAAGTCATCTGCAGCCCAGTAGATTGATCTTCTGCTACCTGCTCTTGCAGCTTAGGGACTGATCTGTTCCCTCCCCTTTTCGTGCTATATTTTCTGGAAATCAGATGGGTGAATGGATGTATGATAGATACAGATAATTGTGCAATTTTCTCCCCACTTGCTTTTGCTTCCACCCATTGTGCTCATAATTGTTGACTTCCAAACTTTCGTTCCTTTTTGCTTATTTAAATTGACAGGACATCAGTGTAGCTCTAGATTATGGCCTCTGCATAAATGACTGTAACAGGAAGCTGGCACATTTGAAAATTTAGCCCACAAGAAGCAAGCTGGTGGAAAGATTTTTGCAGTGACAACCACATCCGAAGGAACAGCATAATGAGACAATATCTAAAACCAAGATAACTTGTGAACAGGACATGCTAAAGGTAATGGGAAATCTCAACAATCAATCACAAATTAGGGTCAAATTCAACCCTGCACTGAAGCCAATAGAGTTTCACTGTAGAAATAACAGCAATTTTGAGGACACAAGTACAGGGCTGCTTTCTTGTACATGGCCAGACTGATGCCTTTCAAACAGAAACCCACAGGAGGCAATGAGACAGTCAGGAAAACTCTAGTGCCTTTAGTGTTTAAGAAAGGAAATAGGAAAGGGGAAATTCTCAACTGTCACGGGAACTCAGTCACAGTAGAAGAGGTGACAAAGAAAAATTAGAGTGCCTAACAACTGATGAGACACCTTCCCAGAGAAATTAGAGAGAATGTCTGCTAGAGCAGGGGTTCTCAAACTAGGGGTCAGGACCCCTCGGGGTCACAGTCGCAAGCTGTCAGCCTCCACCCCAAACCCCATTTTGCCTCCAGCATTTTTAATGGTATTAAATGTATTTAGAAGAGTTTTTCATTTATAAGGGGGGGGTCGCACTCAGATGGTTGGTATGTGAAAGGGGTCACCAGTACAAAAGTTTGAGAACCACGGTGCTAGAGGATATAGGCAGGATACAGTGATCAGAAACAAAAGAAAGGAGGACTTTATAGGAGAGATGCTGTCATTTGTAAAAACAGTCACCATGGATTCACGATCATGCCTTAAAATATGATATAATCTTGTGAAGAAAAAACAAAATAAGCATAGCAGGGAAGCTAAGGATATGATTGGGCCTGTATTGTAGTAGGAGGCTTCTGGGTACACATCTGGCTCTGTTATTTGTTTCTTTATTTCCTTGTGCGGGTATCGTAGTTTTGAGAATGCTTGGTGAAGATCTTGTAGGTGTTGGTCTCTGTCTGAGGGGTTGGAGCAGATGCGGTTGTACCTCAGCGCTTGGCTGTAGACGATGGATCGTGTGGTGTGTCCAGGGTGGAAGCTGGAGGCATGATTTATACCTGCCTCTGGAAATTTCCATTACTTGCATCTGAAGAAGTGAGGTTCTTACCCACAAAAGCTTATGCTCCCAATACTTCTGTTAGTCTTAAAGGTGCCACAGGACCCTCTGTTGCTTTTTACAGATTCAGACTAACACGGCTACCCCTGTGATACTTGAAACTATGATCTGAGATAATTAGTTGTAGTACTTTGTAACCCCTATTTTGAAATGCTGCTATTTATAACAAACAGGATTGTGTTATTACTGCAATAATATTGTTATCTTTTTTTTAAAAGCACAGGAGATAAACCCACTCAGAGAAAATAAAAAGACTAACAATTTTAAATTGCACAACTATAGTGTTGCAATTTAAAATGTTGCTAGTGGAGGTGAACCCCAGGAGCAGGGCATAGGCTAATTTCTACTAGTTACATCAGCGTAAAAACTAGAGTGCCTTGTCTCTACTAGGATTTTACAGTGAGATAGGTGCGTCTTTACATCAAGAAAGCTATTTTTGTAGTGAAGACTTAATTTCCTGGCTTAGAGTCCTCTCTCACACTCCATGTATACCCTTCAGTAACCCACAGGTCCCCTCACACACTCCAGCTCTGAAGCTCCTTGCCTGGCAATTGTCTCAACTGTGCTTTGTTGAATGGGAATGTAATCTCTGCTCCCTCACCATGCTCCCAGCCATGGTCCCTGCTATGTATGCTACCCTGAGCCATTTCCCCTCCCCTCCAGTTGGCTAAATATTTAGCTCTGAGGAACCACAAGAAGTTAGTCTGAGTGAAAATAGCAGCAGCCAGCTGAGACTGTAGCAGAAGCGGAGCTAGTAATGTGCTCCTCTCATCCCTCAGCTTCTCAGAGCAGGGTTACAAAACATACTGGTAGGAATGTCTGAGTTCACGAGAGTATTGTCTACACATCAGTTTCTTCCATTGCTACCACTGGTGGAGGAGCATTACATAAGGCCCAAGAGTCTGAAACTAGAGTCAGTATTTAGTAGGCAGGAAGCTATGGTGAGGTTGTAAGAAACAATCAGCAGGCTAAAGATACAAGCTGGTTATTGTCCTTTTCCTTATCTATAGGTTGGTACCTCTTTAGATGAACTCTTACTGAGTTAGGGCTGGATATGTTTACATGTTAGGTATTTTCAGCCAAGCTCATACAGTGTAGTGATGGGTGTGATATAAGAACTTAGAAGTTGTTTTAATATTATTTCCTAATCAATCTTGTTTTAATAAGATGCATGTGGCCTAACATTAGCTTGTTTGAGAAATTCACACATCCTGTGGCACAAGTGATAACAAATCTTCAATCACTAAGTGACACTAAAGTAACAAAGGTGCAGACCCCCAGCCCTGAAATTTGTTGCATGAGGGTGGAGATTTGCACTCAGAACCACATTGAGTTAAGTGAGGCTCCAGCCAGACACAAGTCACAGGATCTAAGCCTTACCTCTTAAGGTGTAGGACAGGAGTCGGCAACGTTTGGCATGCGGCTCGCCAGGGTAAGCACCCTGGTGGGCCAGGCCAGTTTATTTACCTGCTGACGTGGCAGGTTTGGCCGATCGCGGCCCCCACTCGCCACCCCGGGCCAATGGGGACGGTGAGAAGCGGTGTGGGCGAGGGATGTGCTGGCCAAGGCTTCCCGCCGCCCCCACTGGCCTGGGATGGCGAACCGCGGCCAGTGGGGGCCGCGAGCGGCCAGACCTGCCGTGTCAGCAGGTAAATAAACTAGCCCGGCCCGCCAGGGTGCTTACCCTGGCGAGCCGCATGCCAAACGTTGCCGACTCCTGGTGTAGGAGGTAGCAAAGGACTATGTCTTAATGTACTACTATCCTAGCATAATGGGTCCCTGCTTTCAGTTGGGGCTGCAAGGTGCTATTGTACTATAAATAATAATTAATGTGATCTAGAACCTAATCCTGCTCAGAAATATCAGACTGCACTGACAAAAAGGCAACTATCCAATCAGGTGTGTTTCGGTGCCAGGGATTATAATCTGTGTTACATGGGAAATGCCTCATCACTGTGGATGAGAATCAAGTTACAGGAGCTTAAGAACTGTAATGCAAGAAGAGATTTAGCATGCTAGTAGGCAGCCAAAGTGCGAGGTGTAGGTTACAGTGAAAAGGCAGAATAGAGACACTGTACTGAGATGAAGGCACCCTACTCTGGCTGGGCCAGGAAAGGATTAAAAGAACCTTAGAAGAAAAGGAGAGAACCAGCTCCTCTACAGAAACAGCCTATGGGTGCTGTCTGGGGTCCTCTGCTTAGTATCCCCCTCTGCCTCTCTACTTTAGGGTGACCAGATGTCCCATTTTTAAAGGAACAGTCCTGTTTTTTCTTATATAGGCGCCTATTTCTCCCCCCCACGCCATCCCATTTTTTCACAGTTGCTACCTGGTAACCCTACTTATAGTCCTGTAACCCTCATGCCCGTCCATGTTTTATCATTAGTTGTCTACTGGAATTGCTTGGGCTTTGGATCCAGTAGCTCCTCCCCTTAGGCTGGGAGGAACTTTTAGCTGTGGGCGGGCTTGTACCCACCCATCCCTGGATTCCCAATAGGTACAGAAACGGCACTGTCTGGGATTCTCTGCTTGGTGTCCCCTTCTGGTTCCCTGCTGTTGAGTCTGTAACCCTCACTCCCATTCTTGCATTGTCATTTGTTGTCCCACGACTTTATTTGAACCCTAGGCCTAGTGGTGCCTCCCCTTAGACTGGAAGACAGACCTGCTGATGCAGGGGGGCGCCAGCAATGGGTACCCTTAGCGCCAGGCCCAAGACCTGATCACAGGGAAACGTGAACTGATCATGAGACGTAAGTAGCACAGACACCTAAGCAGGGGTGAAAGTAACTTAAGAGACTTACCGGTACACAGGGCCGGGGTCCTCAGTGGGGGACGGGGCCTCAACCCGAAGAGGCCGGGCCATTAAATCCCCAAGACCTTTAAATCCCGATCTAAAGGGCGTGGGGCTCCAGCTGCGGCAGCTGGGAGCACCAGGTCCTTTAAATCGTCGCTAGAGCCCTGGGGTTCTCAGCCACTACCCCGGGGCTCCAGCAGCAGGGTTCTGGCAGCAATTTAAAGGGCGCGGTGCTCTGGCTGCAGTAGCCGTGGCTAGGAGCCCCGGGCCCTTTAAATCACCGCCAGAGTCCCGAGGCTCCCAGCCGCTATCGCAGGGCTCCAGCAGTGGGGCTCTGACAGCGATTGTAAGGGCCAGGGGCTCTGGCTACTGCCCGGAGACCAGGGCCCTATTAAATTGCCAGCCGGGGGAAGCTGCCCCCGGCCGCTACGCTCGGCTGTGTACTGGCTCTTGACGATGCGCCCTATCGGCTTACTTTCACCTCTGCACCTAAGAGGCACAGAACGAACCCCAGTTTGGTGGGAACACTTGAAGCTCGCACCTATCTATAGATCACTTCAAAACGGCCTCCCCTCGTCTTCTAGTGCCGCCGGTGCCGCGCTACAAAGCAAATAACGGCATGACCGCAGGGAAGGCAAGGGCCGCAGGCTTCTCTCCCCACCCCGATCGATCCCCGCATCAGCGAGCACCCCAGGCCCGGGCAGCCCGGCAGCAGTGGGGCGTTCCCCGGCGCAGGAGCGGCCGCGGGCAGGCCGGACCCAGCGCTCGCTCGCTCGCTCGGCCGGATCAGCTGACAGAGCGGCCTTTCCGAGCCGCAGCTAATCACGTGAGAGGAGAAGGCAGGGGGAGGGGGAAGGAGAAGCAGCAGCAGCAGCCGTGACACGCAGCGATCTCGCGAGAGGAGAAAGCGGCCCCGAGGCAGCCGCTCTGCATAAATAGCCGGGGTAGGCTGCCCTGGGTCGCGGCAGCGTCCGGTAGGCGGTCAGAGACAAGCAGGGGACGGGGTCTCAGGGCAGCTTGGCACTAGCGCAGGGGGTGTCTCTAGGCGCAGGAAGCCCAGCGGCGGATCGGCAGCGCTCTCTGCTCCCGGGTGAGTGAAGCTGCCCTTGGCAGTGCGGGACAGCCTGTAATCTACCGCGCTGGCGCATTTTAAGCGGCTGCGGAGCCGGGTTAAACCCCGGGGCTCGCTGCGGAGCGAGTCCCCGATAATGGGGCTCGCCCCCCTTCGTGCACGGAGCTAGCACAGCGCTGCGATGGCTCTCGCCCTCCTATGCCGCAGCGCCGGGTGGCCGCCAGCGCAGCCGCTGACACCCCTGCGGCAGGGCTGCAGGGGCTAGGGCAAAGCGCACGCTGGTGTGGAAGGAGAGGGGAGTGGCTGTATTTCTGGGATGTCCAGTCCAGCTATCTTAATATGCAGGGTTCCCCTTTCAGCCTCACTCCTGTGCTAGCCTGGGAGGCTGTTCAAGCCCGTCTCCCTGGGGGCAGAGAGGGTTTTTTGTTGTTGCTTTAATGGGGCATTTAAATTTTCACTCCTAACGTTGTGTGACGCCTTCTTCATTCAGGTGGCCCTAGCAGGAGAGCTCTGTTGAGAGTGGTCCTTGTAGCTGGAGTAGCCTGTGGGCGTGACCAGGTGCCCCTCTCCTGTTAGCACACATGATGCTGGTCCAGTTTCTGCCCAGTGGGTCACTGAAAAGCTGCAGTTATGATATCCATATACAGGTGTTTTGTCTGCAGTTTACACAGAGCAGATAGGAACAAATTCCTGTGTCCACTCACTGTATTGAGTGGAAAGGGGGTTTCTTGTCACCGTGCTTGAAAGTTGAAAACCATTCACTTCTGTTCCTCTTTATGAAAGTAGGAACAAAACTTCTGACTCAGTCTGCTTATTAATTTTCCTGTCTATGGAACTAAGCTGTCTCTAAAATATGCCTTCAAACATCAAACATGCCAAACATAATGTGGGTCTGACTCCAACACCTTTCTCAAATGTGCTTTTTTTGGTAAGGCCCACATTGACTTTTAACTAGAAGGGACAGTAAAAGTGGCTGAAAATACACACTAGCGTTCTTGTGGGGTTATATTCATGTAGTGAACTCTAAAATATTTTGGGACCTGCAGTAATTATGGTCTGGAGATGGCTTAAGTAGTATTGGGTTAGCTCCTGGAATGAGAGGTTAAAATCATGCCAGGAATGGCTAAACTCAACTTTTCCATGAGAGAAATTCAGTATGTCCTCTGTGGTGTGGGTCTTTTGGACGAGACCTTTTAAAAACTAAGGTCACGTCTGGTCTGCATAGATATTAAAACTTGCACAGCTTTTCATAGAGTAGATTTCTCTTCGTGTCCTTGCTTTTAGCTAGGTGCTGCTACCCCATCCCAGTGTTGTGGTACTTTGCAGTCCAAAGGTGGTGGGTTTTTTTTTTTTTTTTTCCCCTTCAGATGTGCTCTATGTATATAGTCCAGGGTGGATTTGATTTAAATCACTAGTAAAGAAGACTTGCTTTAATCATGGATTTCTACATAAAAGTGCATTCTTATTGGCTCTTAATACATTCTTCGCAACTCAGAGATAGATGTAGGTTTCATTTTTAGAAGGTACACACTATATATAGGTTTTTAAGTGATTTATTTTGAAAACTTTTCAGATTAGTTTTACAGCTATATCAGAAAACTAATGATTGTTTGGTTATTTCATTTACCAAAGGTAATTGAAGCAGATATTCATGAAGTCATTGAGAGGTGAACCATCTCCAATTCGGCAGGTTAATCATTAACATTTGGAGGGTTTTCTTGCTTTGCTGTATTAGGAGGAGAACATCACCAGACATTTAAATTGTTTTATTTAACTAAAACAAGATTATGTATTCTGAATTTTTTTCTTCAACAGCAAACCTTATAACAAAACAAGCGTATGAATTTTTGAATTTTGTTAAACATTCAAGTTTTTTTTTTTAAATTTGGTTTGTTTTTTGTTTTATCTAAAATAGTTTAAAAAACCCCCACAAATTAAATCGACTGTCAGACAGGTCAACATGAGAAACTTAAAATATTGGCTTCTGCAGCTAACTCAGTCGTCTTCTCCATTTTCCTGTTTGTTCATAATCTGGAAAAGAAAAACAAGCTTTCCTGCTTTTTCAGGTCCCAAACGATTCCTCAGTTTGGAATGAATTAGTCCAAAGGAAGAAAATATTCTTTCTACACCAGAGGAAGAAGCTACTGCTATTTAAAAGTGAGATTATTGCTTCAACAGTCTCTGAATCAAGTGCTTAAGTGACTTCCACCAGTTCACTGGTGTGACTTTCTTTAAAACATTAGTAGCAAACATTTCTTATTCCCACACTGGGTCTCTTTTACAGCCTGCTGCCGTTATAGGGTTTCCCTGCTAGTGACAGAATGCTTTGGTAGATCTCAAATCAATGAAGGCTACACTCAAAGAGTTCTAGAAAATGCTGCTCAAACAGTTTCACTTTTGTTTCTACTGCCTGTCCCTCCCTTCTCACATTTACCTCCAGACTTCTTCTCCAGAGCTATTCGGGCCCCAAACAATCTTCTATTGAACTTTTTGAAGCTTTGCACTCTTAGAGAGAAGGGATTGACTCTGTACACAAATTTGCAGAGGGACAATAGGGTTGAGATCTGTCATTTCTCACCTCTATATATTTAAAAACATTTTTGCTGTGAACAAGCATGTTATCTCTGGAGACACAAATCCACAGTTTGAGAACTGCAAAACTAAGCATCTCTGATAGTATTTTCTAGACTGAGACCCATTGGATAGATAGAAAGATTAACCTAAAGCTATACAGAAGCCCCTAGAACCACATAAGATTGGGTCCCTAATCCATGAACTATTGGAATTAATTTACAAAACTTAAACATTACATGAATAGATTGTCTCATACTATAGAATTAGACTTTACAATCACTATTCCATGATGAGTTTTAATTAATATATCTTTTTCCTCAAAGCATTTTATCAAATCTGTTTTAAATCAAGCTTTTTAAAATCCTGGATTTTTATCCACCCTGATAGTCTATAAAGGAAACATGACTACAGTATTTTATTGGCATCTGATGTGGAATCTATCCTGTAAGCCTTCTTAACACTTTATACAAAGTTTCCCCCGCCCCCCCCCCCCACGTGTCTATTTGTATTCCTTAGTAATAGTCTGCTGCATGCCACATTTGTTTTGCATACAAATAGTGGCTGATCTTATTACTATATCAGAGAGGGGAGAAATACAAAAGGCATCTGTGCATAGGGGAGAAATACAAAAGGCATCTGTGCACGGTCATTCCCTGTGGGTCACCTGGCAGTGGCCACTGTTGGAAGGCAGTATACTGGGCTAGATGGACCATTGGTCTAACCCATGTGGCCGTTCGTATAATGCTATCACTCCTCGGTGTTTGTGTACTTTTGTCCTTGTTCGTTGGGCATTAGAGGGAAAAAGCTGTGCTTGAAGCTGTAAGCAGAACAATCTAACTGAAACAGGAACTCTAGTGTTAACTACTGTACTAACTCTATGGCACATTATTAAATGTGGAACTGTTTGTCAGGAGCTCCTGACAAACACCCCCACACTGAAGGTGGTGGCTTGCATGTGGGGTGTGTGTGTGTGTGTGTGTGTGTGTGTGTGTGTGTT